GAGCATGAAATAAAGGATCCGAAAACAAGAGAAGTCTACTCAAAATAACCCGATCAGAATGTTCTCGAGAGTCTTTTCTCGAAAAATTAGCCCCAAAATCTCGATAAATTTTGTGTCCTGCTTCGGCTGCCTCTTCGGATAACTGGCCAATAGGCAATAAGACACGGGAATTAAGTGAATGAGTCGCGAACCTTTTCTAATCAAAACTTGCATTCTTCCTCTTCCGTTCGGGCGCATCAAAGTGTAATTTAGAGAACGGTTCTGATTCATCCTAGTCTCGTCCAAGTAGATAATATGACGCGGATTTTACTCTTTGTAAGTTTCATGCGTGCGCGTAATGAATTTGTTTCTCGACGTGACCATATCACATCGTTGCATCAAAATACCGACCACTGCTGTCTTTTTCATGTTCAAAACTCATGGATTTTAAAATGGAACCTACCGATCGTTGGCACCCTTTGAAATTCAACTTTTCCCTCATCTTCTTGTACATAAAGAATAAGCCTGATGCAGAATCCCTCGAAGTCGGAAGCAATCGGCTCAGCGGGGAAATCGGATTGTTCCTTTTGAATACAATTAAAACTAAAATGATAAACTTACATTCCTTTGAGTGAAACAGATATAAAGTGAAATTCTCATCTAATAATAAGAAATAATAACAAGCAGTGAACTCCAACACAATGTGTTGATAAGGCGCGTCATTAACTCGCACATATCAACCCCTTTAGTTTTCATTTACAGAGATTTCAAAAAAGGCAAGCAGCACAACAAGAGAATTCACGATCCAACACTGCAAGGTCAACGACGCACCTTCACGAGACCGTGTATTGTGAATCTAGAAAGCTATTCGAACAAATTTAAGTTTTTTGATCTGCCTCAAGCAAAATCTTTTCAGATTCTTGAAGAAAAGTGCTACGGAAAAATTTAAGCGAAGAAAGGAAAAATTCTGTCGAACTCCTAGAAGATAAAGTCGATTTAAAGGTATTTTGGGGCTAAAATACCCAAATCACCGGTATTATAAATCCCGTTATATTATTGAAAAGAAATTGACTCGATATAAATGCAATTGTCTTAAATATGTCTTGATTTTGTTATTTTAAACGTCTTTTCATGCAAAGAAGCTCAACCATGTCCATGCTTTATTCATTCATGAATTGAAAGTAAGCAATCCACATCCCGAAAATCTACCGATTTGCCGTAAAAAATCGCAGAAACTTGATATACCAGGTCGATGTACCCACTCTTTGAATTTACCAATCAATTTAGTGAGTGCACGTATGTGAAAGTCAAAATGCTATAGTCATTTTGGGTGCATTCATTTTTCATGAAACAATTGTAAGTAATTTCAATCCCGAAAAACCATAAATTTTCCGTATAAAATAAAAAAAATCAAAATATGTCGACTCCCTGACGTGAAAATTAAATTCTACGTGTGAAAATACTTATGTATCGATATGCTGAACAGAATGCCCGCCTCTCCTCGTAATTTACAAACCGTTCCTATACTCATCTCAAAATTTTTCTCAGAGCTTTGTGTTATTATCAGCTTCCATTTAAACCCCGGTTTGATGGCCGAATCGGCTGCCCAAAAAGCAAGCCATTTTTGAAGGGCTCTATGAGAAATTCGTGATATTATCAGCTCTCAGGAAATCACCCCATGGGTAAAATTGCTGGTATAAATTTTCGAGTGCTTAAAATAATCGTATTCAAGAAACTAAGGCATTAAACTATGGAGTCAATTTCGTTTTAATAATATAACGGGATTTACTTGTCTTCAGGTCAAAACTCATACAAGAAAGCCCCTTGCAAGAGGCTAATTTTTTGTAATTTCACTCAATTTTTTCTCCTTTTTATAATTGAATTGCTTGTCACATTCTGAGGTCAATCATATTAAATTGTAATTTATACATTTCTTTTTTTCCCCCTTCATTTTATTTTTTGTTTGGAGAAGTTTTGTTGATTTCTTCGGATTTCGAATACTGTAACTTCTCTTCTATTTGGCCGATTTTTATGAATGAGACCTCTTTTAATTCGTGTTTTAACGGAAAGTAAGGAAAAAATTGCTAAAAACTCGCGAAACAATTTTTTTTTAAAATTGGACGAATCCTAGCGTGACGGTGAAATGGTTAATGAAGCGTAAGTAATTGGGCGAGGGGCTGAGGATCCCGGCCTCGCTTGGCGACCGTCATTAGCTATTGTTCGTCGAGACGCCGACGCAGTGATCAGGAGCGTGGGGAAGAGAGGGGTAAGTGGATTCCTGTATGAGCCACGTTTAGCTAATGGTCTAATGAGTCTCGAGGCTCATCACAGATTGCACTTACACAGATTGCACTATCATGAGTGGCGGTAGCCACCACCGGGCAAGTAACCTATCCTCCAACAATTGGCAACACAGCACAGCCCGGTCGAGGCAACGACACCATAGTTACACGAACTTGGCTTATTTGGGTTTTTCAGAGCACGGGTACCAACTTTTGAAAAGTATAACCGAGGTTACAGATCTGTCAAAGCAACGTTTTGAACAAAACGGAGGAGTTAGATTCTCATTCCGAGAGTGCCGACCTGCTCAGCCATCCTCGAATCAATTCGCTTGATTCTGCTTATATATGCATATTTTAAATCAGCGCGTCGCATTCTTAGGCTTTTTTTAAAAAAACCAAGTAACTTAGACTCTTGGTATTCACTGCACATAAACTAGCGACCCCCAGAATGAGAAACAACTTTAAATCATAATTATTGATGGATAAATAAACTTTTTACACGCTTTGGAAAATCTCAGAAGTTCGCGGTAGTCACTTTTCGGTAAGGAACTAAGGGACTCGGTTATTGTATCGAGCAGGGTTCGAAACGATCGCAAAGGCGGTATACTACGTATACGCGCCAATAATAATCGGCTTTTATTTAACAATTATATGCATACACATTTTATTTTAATTTCGTGACTAGATACCCATGGATAGATGCTGTCTGGGCAGGGTTATGTACGATGACATGAAGTTGTTTGGTTTTCCTAATGTTACCTAAGTATTTCTGATAAAAAGGACTTAAGTCCACTCCCAATGTTACATCTTATAAACACGTTAAATCTTTTAAAACTATCGTCTAAAAAAACGATTCTCAAATATGTAACTGAATAAAACTCAATAACTGAATAAAATACGCTTTTGTGTTTCTGACTTTGCTGTGAATTCCTGTAGTGAAATTAGGGATCTTAGTTAGGTTTGGTTTGGTCGAGCAACTAAACTAACTTCCATGTAACGCAGAGAGTATCATAGGGATGGAAGGCGCTCCAAGCCGAGTTGGCGCTTTTGAAGTTTTCTGTCAATGAAAGCTTCTAACATGTCCATTGCAATATGAAGAGTTAACACGCATGCCGCTTGCAAAGTGCTGACTATTGCTGACTACCTGCGACATAAATACTCCTGTGTTATCGTGGATGTGTTCGATGACGTTAGTTGCGATTTGCGTTTTTATTCTTAAAATTCTTTCGTAGTCTATGATCAAGTCTAGTCTTTAGAGAGAGTCGATTAGCTTTTTATTCCTCGATAGTTTGTGAATCATCAACCTTGGACCGACATTTAAAGGAGTTTCGCAAGAGCTATGGAAACAGGAGGAATCCCGATTTTTTGCCTGCCTTTCTGTTGAGCAAAATGGGGACTCAAAAAATGAACAAATAATGTACGTCCGCAGTATCACGGAAAGCAGCACATGGCATTTGACAACAAGACACATAACTATAATTATGAAAACAACAAAAAAAGGAATAGTAATTAGAGAAATAATAGCTATTATGAAGATGATATCAGTTAGAACAAAAACTCTGTTTACAATAAGTCAAGGTAGGTTACATTTAGAGAATTTACAAGGTAAGTTGTTACATTTTTAATTGTGACTTATGACAATGTCTAAAAAAATATTGTTCCAGTTAAGTCATACGCGAGACTAAGCGTTAACATACAGTTTTGAAAGGGGCACATTTTGTCCGCAATATTTTTGAACCGATACTGTTCCTTAAATTCCTTTTTTGCCATATTTGAATTTGTAGTTTTTTTATCAAATCTTCTCATGTATGGTTCTGAGTTTGAATTTACCGACTAGGGTTTTTCACCTCTAAGTGGAAATCATCAAAATATGTGTGGTGGCTGTTTAAAAGGAAATAGAGCTATATCTCCCGTTACCATTTGAAATAAGTATTACATGTTGTGCAATAAACACTCGAATTCATCGACCAAAAACTCAGACAAAATGTGAATAAATTCTCAATAAAGTTGCGCCTGTGACTCTGAAATTGCACAATCTTTGCACCCAAGAGAAATTGACATTAATGTTGATTTCGCAGAGAAAAATTGGATAATGAGAAATAATAATCTCCAATGAATACTCCTCAGCAAGGATTTTTCATGGGAACAATTAGAATTTTCTTCTCACCAAAGGAATTCTGGTTTTGTCAAAAATAAAATTCTGGTGTCCGCAAGAGATCCCCCATTTTGGAATGATTTTTCTATTGATATTCTCTGCGTCTCTTTCAACCGAATAAAATGATCGAGTGAAGTAAATATCTAAAATCTGACGATTCCTACAATTTTGCACCTTATTGACACGTCCTCAATACTCATGCCACTTGTCAACCATTAATCAACCTGATGCATAGTTTTGCAGCTCCACGATATAAATTTATTCAAACTGGAGTTCTTCCCCGGTTCACGTGTTATACTCAAGGTTGATCCCTGAAGTTGCAATATTTTTTGCCCTCTAGATTTCTTGGCATGTGCTCATTTTTCAACGTGACACCACTCGAAATATTTGAGCGCGAGAGTCTCTATATTTTCCATTTGTATCGTGCGGTTTTGGAAAAAAGTCCTTTGGAAGCTTTCCACCCATTCTTTAAACCATTTGACGATCGTAAATCAATATCTAGGCTATAAATATGTTTTTGTAGGTGTTCATACACTTTGATAGAGCCTGAGGCTCTTTCCCACATTCGTTCACAGCTCCGTTCATTTACCAAGTCTAGTGTGGTATGAAAACTCACGATGCGCATTTTTTACTTTGGCACATTAGTTCTAACAATTTTTCTACGTGAGTATCTTGGTATCTCTTTTGAATACGTGTAAATAGTAAATACTAACCACATGAAATAAAAATGTGCATATTGTCGCTTTGATACATTTTATTTTTCGTGTGCCACTATTATACTTGAGGTCGAAACTGAGAGTACGATTGTAATTAACTGGAGGTTATATTGGGTCCTCCGGTGTCGTCTTCAGGGTAAAATGGGATTTCATTTTAACGTATGCATGAGGGCGACACAAACTAAGTATACGTCATGAAATTAACTATAACTACTTAATTTAAAAATTATAAGAATAAAAACTGAAAATCAAACCAATCATATTCCTCAATCAATGTGCAGTGAAAGTTTCTCGGAAAATCCCTGACTCTCTCCCATTTTTGTTTTACTGTAATGGTTCATTAATCACTCATTGAAAATCGCATCCTTTTTGCCTTCTCATTTTTTTCTTCTTCATTTATTAAAAGAAAAAGCATTTCATTCTTAAAAGGAACATATACCTAATATCGTATTTTTTAAGGGGAAAAATAAAACCAACATTGATAAGAAGCTAAACGAGAAAGACACAAAGATAAAAATCGGAAAGGAAACCTAACTTTTCCAACTTACGAGGTGGTGGAGATGCCTCCCTTTCGATGCGGAACTTTGTCCGCATCCCCTCCAGCCTCGTCTGAGCAGGCTGGCTTGACAGGCGGCTATCTCTTGTCAGCTTCTCATTTCCTTTTCTGTACTTCTTCGTAAAAAGCTCCATTTTTGGGGGGGCTGGCGGTGGTCCTCTGGTGGTGGTTCTTGAGGCGTGAGAACTATAGTGGCTGTGGTGAGCGTGATAACTAGAGCCTCGGTGACCGTGTGAATAATTAGAGTGGCTGTGGTGTCCAGATTTTCTGAATTCCGGGCGGGGCGGAGCCGGAGCCGGGGTTTCCTGCGGCTAATTGAAGCGCAGGAATCGTATTGTTAGGTTCTCGTCTCCTTGATCTAAAACATATTTTTGATATGATTATAACTTAAATTGATTATAAAATCTGCTGATTGTGAAAAATTAAACCCTGGAGATCTTAATCAATTACCGGTGCTTATACCCATTGATTGTCCATCTATCCTATACTCTAACTGCATGAATATTATTTACTCACTAAAAAACGGCAGATGATGCGTTACTCATCGCAAGAAATGATTTACTTACGGGGCCATACATAAATTAAATAGGACACTTTCCCCAAATTTCCGACCCCCCTCCCTCTCGTAACTCACCGTAAGGCATCCCTTACCCCCTCATAAATTAAATAACTTTTCCAACTTACGAGGTGGAGGAGATGGCTCCCTTTCGATGCGGAACTTTGTCCGCATCCCCTCCAGCCTCGTCTGAGCAGGCTGCTTGTTGTCGGGTTGCTTGTTGTTGGCTCTTTTACTCAGCCATTTCCTCGTAAAAAGCTCCATTTTTTTATGGGGTGGCGGAGATCCTCTGCTTCTATGGCCGCTGCTGGGGTGAGAATCGCTGTGGTGAGAACGGCTGTGATGAGAACGGCTTTGGTGCTGGTGAGCGTGATAATGGCGTATGAATTCGGGCCGGATCCGCGGTTTCCTGCGGCTCATTGGAGCGCAGGAATTTTATGGTTAAATTCTCGTCTCCTTGATCTGAAACATATTTTTGATATGATTTTAACTTAAATTGATTATAAAATCTGCTGATTGTGAAAAATTAAACCCTGGAGATCGTAATCAAGTACCGGTGCTTATACCCATTGATTGTCTATCTATCCTATACTCTAACTGCATGAATATTATTTACTCACTAAAAAACGGCAGATGATGCGTTACTCATAAAAAAACAAAAAAAAAACAAACAAACAAAAAACAAAAAAAAAGCAAACACACAAACAAACGAACAAACAAACTGTAGGTATTTACGATACAATAAATCAGTGTTAAAAAAAAAAAAACATTATTCATGGAATAATCACATGAAAATTATTTATTTCTGACTGTAAAAAGGAAAAACATCAACAACGAAATTCCTTTAAAATTAGATAGCTTTATTTTACGGATACACATTATTCCAACATTAGTTATCATTATAATATATTTAATTAATGAGATATCATCAATAAATGATTTCCTTAAGGGGCCATCCATAAATTAAATAGGACGTTTTTCCCAAATTTCCGACCCCCCTCCCCCCTCGTACCTTAATGTTCACTGAGCGATCCATTCATTTGTATTTATCCTTTTGTCTTTATTTATTTCTCTTTTTTTATTTGAAAGGTCAGAAATTCAACCCAGATCATGTCAGAATGCAGATGCCCCCCAACGTTCAGTTCCATTCTGAGGTGCTAAGGAAGAACGCCGTATGATCATTCAGACGTTGCCAAGTTTCATTCGATAAAACCTGAATTTACTGGGAAAATAGGGAATATTTTTTCCAAAACTTTCAGACAATTTTGTACGCAATTTAATCTAAAATATCTGAAATAGTTAAGGGAAAATATGCACGAATGCTGTCAAAAATACATGATTTATCAATGGAATTTTGGCAACTTTCGAATGTTCATACGGCGTTCTTCCTTAGCATGGCAGCATTCTAGTAATCCTTTAGAGAACCTCTATCGAAATTAAAGTTTTCTTCCACTTTATTTTCATTCCTCCGGGAAAAATAGTTTCCCGCAGGAAAATCATACTCATGCGTAGCTCTCTTTTCCTCAGGAGTTTAACGGTTCTTTTTTGTGTATTTAAAAGTGTGTTATTTAGACTCTCCGTTCTATACATGCTTGTCGAATATCAATCATTACGTTTCAT